TTTTGCGTTTCACAGTTTATGTACTCAAGAATTAATAATTAATGTAATGAGGATACGAGTGATGATTCCTGTTCGTTCGTATGGAGAAGAATCCGACGATTCATTATAAAAAACAATAAAAATTTATTATAAATTATTTACAATTTATTTCATTTCATTATAATTTATTACACACGTACCAACATTTATGAACTTGATTAATTTTTGTTACGTAATCCGCTGACTCGATAAATATCGGAGCCAAAGGGCACATCGCTTCACTAAAATTAAAAAATAAGAGTTCAGGAAGTATTGTATTTTTTTGTCTAACGTTGTATGTCAATAATTACGGAACTTCGAAGGTATACATGTGTCAAAAGTTAAATAAATTGTTGGGAGGAGTAGTGTGTTTCGTTCACGTTGAATTTTGTTATGATTGATTTTTGTTCTCTTTACGCGCATCAGATGGCGATAATTGAACTCCGGAGACGATTAGGGTTTGTATTAATTTTTATTGATTTTCATATTTTTACTACCATGATTACTGAAGTTCCGAGGGTTAGTCATGTTAAATTATGTGTTTTAGAATTGTTTTCTTGACTTCTCGCCATGCTCAACAGTTTGCTAAACATCGAAAACCGACTAATTCCCATTCAAAAACTTATAGAATCACGAATTAGGTGTAACCTATTCGCTCAATATTGAATTAGCTCCGTTTTCACTTAGCTGCCACTGCTGGGCACGGGTCTGTTACTAGCTAAGTGCTAAGTAATGAACGTCCTCTGGAGCTCGTCGTAGTAACGGCATGCTGGAGCTGGATTCGTCTTCGGATGACTTCTCTTGGCCGTCAAGTAAGTCGTCTTTGTTCTTTCGTCTGTTTCTGGGAACAACGAAGTAGAGACAAAATTGTTTTTTTATGTTTTTTTTTGTTATTGTGTAGAATAACTACAACAACCTTTTCAATACAGGGTTATTTGTAAAATAATGGCAATCTTGCTCAAGTATATTACTGTAGTCTGTCTTTTTTTGAAGACGGAGTAAAATTACATTTGCAGGGTTGCCAGTTTTCATAAAATTTTAAATAGTGATGTAGCTGTTGTCGACAGTTTAATCGATAGATTGTGAAAGAAGGTAACGTTTTGCTAAAAATGTCTATATTGTGAATGCTACTACGTTCTAATGATTACTATATTCTTTGCGTTATAGCCTTCTTTATTCCTCTTTTTACCGTTGACCTACTAGTTTAAATTTTTATTCATAGAAATTTTAATAAGGACGGGCGATATTGGTTATCTATACATATTTATTACAATTATTTATTATTTATTAACAAAAATTCCTTCGAACCGAACCGACGTAGTTAAACGAATAATCGGTCAAGTATTATTCAAATCAAACAAGTTCGGTTATTTATTGCATATGCTTGACTAACATTTAATCGATAGTCGATAGAATATTTATCGACTGCAATCACTAGTTACTTGTAATTAGGCAACACTTTTGCGCAATGACCTATCATTTTACTGTGAGAAGTTCTTTATTAAAGTTTGATAATCACTAAAGAAATAAATTACCTTTTAGGGTAGGGCTGTTTGAGGTGGAAGGTTTTGTAATGGAGTTTCATGCTGTTGCTTTGCGTGAAACGCTTGTCGCACAGGCTGCACGCGAATGGCTTCTCACCAGTGTGTGTCTGAAATAATAATGAAATGAACGAATGAATTTATGTACCAATAGCTCTTGTTCTATACATATACATACTATAACATATCTGTAAGGTTTACAGCCGCACATTTTAGTTCCGCTTACTTTGCGTCCTTCCTTTTTGTCTTTCTCGTAGTTAACGAGAATCGTCCTTATGTTCTCGAAGCACAGATTTTGCATTTGAAGAAGAGATTTAGTATCCAAAGCCATCTTGACGTTAGTTGGTAAGCTTCGCAAGTCGATAGAGAGAGCTAGTGTGTGCTAATTCACTGCGTTATGTACGCCTTCTCAATGTAGTTGGTGAGATCCGCTTGTGGGAGGCCAACTACACTGATGAACCAACACAGCACTAACAATCCGGCTCGAAGGACCAAAACGATGTAAGGGCCAATACTGCGCTATAGTACTGACATCTAAATGTTTAAACAGGTAGATAAGTTGTAAAAGGTTTATTGGTAAAGATACAAACTCGATGAGGCTGTGTATCGCGAACGTGTCACGGGAACTTCAGGCATATATTTGTTTCACAAATTTGGGCGGAGCCAACGTCAAGACTTTTTGGCATGCTCCTTCTTAATGTCTATGCTTGAATATATCGTGTAGTTACTCATACAACATTTTATTTTTAACTTTAAAGTGGATGTACCCCTCTAAAATCAAATCGAAGATTAGGAATTTTTCCTCTGCTCCCTCTGAAGTCACGGGACGAACAAGCCGTGTGCCTGGTGGAAAGCGACACGCCTTTCCTTAACAGTTGCAAAGTCGCGCAGAGCTTTAAATCACAAAGATCTGAAGGGCACTGCCACTGCGACGGACACCCCGAGACATCATTTGACAAGTACCATATGCCTGTAATTTCACCAGCACCCTTACCCTTCAAAACCGGAACGCAGAAATAGGTAAGGTGGCAATACTTCTCTGGACGAACTGTTTCACAAGCAGCTCTACTGCTACTAAAGTTACTTTTAATATTTTGAATAAAAAGTTCGTGCTAAAACGTTACTTCGGGATGAAATTCAAAGAAGTGCCATCTATACGATTGATTGCAAACTAACAAATCAAAAAGAATACCAATGAGAAACATTCGATTTGTTGTCATTTCAACGACAGTTAACTGTTTTCACCAATTTTCATAAATGTAAATGAATTTTAATTTCAACATTCCTAAAATGTTTTAAATTTTTATTGAATTGATATTCAATTATTTTTTGTGAAATTACGCCACTAGTTTGTTATAATTATTAATACAAAGATCGAACACTCAGAAAAGATTCCTTCGGTCCGGTCGGATTCGAACCGACGTCTTCTAGCTTACCGTGCCAGACGCTATACCAACTAAGCCACGGAACGAACCAGCGGACCTCACGAATTTTTCTATGTTCTTGCGTCGTGTCTTCGTATTTAGTTTTTCAACGGCTTTTTAGTTCTAGTTTTCGGACTTTTTAATCCCTAAAATGTTGTTTAAATTTTGAATTACTTTTTAAAATAAATATTAATAAAAGATCGAACACTCAAAAAAATCCCTCGATTCGGCCGGATTCGAACCGACGTCTCCTAGCAAACCGTGTCAGACATTATGCCAATTAAGCCACGGAACGAACCAGCGGACCTTCTAGCCGTAGCGCCATCTATGAGAAATCTATGAAAGTATTTCGTCGAATCCGGCCGGATCAAAGGAATTTTTTCTTTGTGTTAATAATAATAGCTGGGGAAATTTCACAAAAAATAATTAAATATCAAATAAATAACATTTTATTTACTTTATACTTCTTATTTAGTAACACCTCAAATTTTCGAAATTTAATAGTTTTCATTTTCTCTCTCGAAGTGTCACCATTTACAGTTTTAAATATATACTAAAGTTAATTAGTATGAATTGATACCCCATGGCAATAGTATCCCATGCATCGGAATAAATGAATTTGAATTAGTACTTACCACCATGTGGCGTTTGAGCCCCACACTGGAGTGGAACGCGCGACCGCACGTCTCGCAGGTGTGCACCTTCGCTCGCGTGTGCATGTTGATGTGGGTGGCCACGCTGCCAGGCTGCGATCAGGTACACACACGTCCAGTCAAAGCCAAGTAATCTTTTTTAAGTTTATTGTATGTCACGATGTTTGACCACCATGATATTCAATTATTTCCGTGAAATTACTGCACTTGTTTGTTATAATTATAAACACAAAGAAAACATTTCTCCGATCCGGCTGGATTCGAACCAACGTCTTCCAGTAAACAGTATCAGTCGCTGTGACAACTTAAACACTGATTAATTCATCCAACTTATTACGGGTTTTCTTACTTCAACAACTGCTAATTAAAAAAAAAATATGAATATTATAATTATTAATACAAAGATCGAACACTCAGAAAAAAAATCCTTCAATCCGGTATTAATTGCATATCAATTCAATAAAAATTTAATTAATACAGTGAATAGCGACATCTCTCGCCAGGACTGGTAGCTGTAAAGGTACTAACTGGGTGATAAATCTTTCATAGATTTCTCATAGATGGCGCTACGACTAAAAAGTCGTTGAAAAACCAAATACAAAGATACGACGCAAGCACATAGAAAAATTCGTGGGGTCCGTTGGTTCGTTCCGTGGCTTAGTTGGTATAGCGTCTGGCACGGTATGCAAGAAGACGTCGGTTCGAATCCGGCCGGATCGAAGGAATTTTTTCTGAGTGTTCGATCTTTGTATTAATAATTATAACAAACTAGTGGAGTAATTTCACAAAAAATTATTGAATATCAATTCAATAAAAATTTAATTAATATATGAATATGTTTACAAAACATGCGTCTACAGGGTGAAATTTTATTAAGGGCTTGTTGGAACAATGTGCTGTTGTTAATTATAAACAACTTAGATGACTCACCGCTAGGGATGCCCCGCAGATCTCGCAGATGTGCCTCTCCTGCGGCGGGCAGAACGACGTGCGCGGGTGCATGGTCAGGTGGTGTTTCATGCAGGCCGCTTGTGTATCAAAATGTTCGCCGCACTGTCAACAGGAAAGCGATTTAAATTTAGGACACTGCTTAAAGTATTGCTTTTATTCTTAGGTCTTCGCGATTGCCAACACATTGGATATGAAATTATTTTCTCGAATCTAAATCGTGTATGTTGGTTTTTTTAAACAACCTACCGTTTCGGGCTTTGTATAGGTCTCATAGTCCATGGCTGTAAATATTAGCGAATACTTTCATATACGTTGTTTCATTCACTTAGGGGCTGAATTTTGAAAAATCCTTCTTAGTCTGTCACCGTGGTCGAACGGTTACCTTGCTGGACTGCCACGCAGAGTTCCCACGTTCGATTCCCAGGCCGGGAGAAATATTTGTATGGCCTACATTTATTTCTCTCGTGTGTTTGGGCGTAATTTGTGGTTGTCTGTGTGTGTCCACGACATCCGCGACACAGGGTTTCCCTAGTGTGGGGCTATTTGAGTGTGTGCGTTATTATTACACACTAAGTAACTGGGAGAGAGAGCGCAATATCACTGTCCTGCTCCGATAATTTATGGCCGAGTCTGTAAACGAGTTTTTTTTTACAATAGCTAAGTGACGGGACGAACAATTCGTGCGCCTGATGGTAAGCGACACGCCTGTCCATAACAGTAGCAGTGCTACACAGAGCTTTAACTCACAAAGACCTGAGGGGCACTGCCACTGCGCCCCACACCATGAGACTTAAGTTAACAAGTCCCATGTGCCTGTAATTTCACCAGCACTCTTACCTTTAAAAACCAGAAACCTGTAATGTTGACACATCTGCTTGACGGCAGAAATAGGTAAGGTGGCAGTACTACCCTGGACTACTAAATAATCTTACTACAATTACGTGTTCACAACTAAAGTGCGTCACGTGGCTAAAGCAAGTCGCCGCGTGCGTTGACTTATACCAAACAATGTATGAGAGCGTACAATAAATAAGCCCATCTTAATAATGAAAACTAACCTGGTGGCAAGTTGTAGGTTTCCTATGTGTCCGTTTCTTTTTTCTACCAACGTGTCGTTTCCTTTCCATAGGCCTGAACTGCCCTCCGTCTTTCCTGCAATACAACGGTATAGAAATTGAGCAACATTTTATGAGTTCTTAGGTTTTCGCGATTGTTACACATAGGAATGAAACTATTTTTCCGGATTTAAATCGCGTATATTTGTTTTTTCAAACAAACCGACGTTTCGGGCCCTTTACAGGTCCCATGGTCACGGTTGACTGAGTCAACCGTTTAATTTAAATCGATTTAAATCCAGAAAAATAGTTTCATTCCAACATTTTATGACTTATTCAATTAGATACATAGGGACAATCAGGGGGTAAGGGCGCTGGTGAAACTACAAATATATGGGACTTGTCAATTTTATGTCTCAGGGTGGCGGGCGTAGCTAATAAACATGATTTATTAGCTCCGTCTTCAGGAGTGTCAGAAAAATACAAAAATTAAAAAAAAAAACCATTTTTTTTGTAATATCAAGTGAGAGGACGAACAAGTCGTGCGCCTGATGGTAAGCTACATGCCTGTCCATAACAGTTGCAGTTGTCACTCAAGAGCTTTAGATTGCGAAGATCTGAGAGACAATGCCACTGCGCCCGTAACCCTGAGA